GGTGATGCCAGGGACCAAGCCTTCCACACACGGTCTCGGGGGGCCACCCTGATCCTAACCATTGCACACACCGACCCCATCCTGGGGCGGCTGTGAGGAGGAGCTAGGAAAATGGGGAGGGGTTGGTATGGTTCAAGAGCTCATGAGTGTTCAGGATGCTCTCTCATCCCCCAAATGCAGGAGGGTCCAATTTGCAGGCTTGGTTTTTGCAACTGATTAATTCATTCATTCATCGACTGAGCACCTGGAACTCCTAGGTGTTGGGTTGGGAGTGGTCGGGCTACAAACACGTCAATATGGGGATTAATATGCTATTAGATAAGCAAAAAAAAAAAAAAAAAACCCAAACGTCTATTGAGTTAAAAGTAATAATGACTTCCAAGGATATTTAGGTAGTTTACAGAAGAGTCTTAACAGATGGTCTGTTAGGAACAACGTGAAAAAAATGTATGGCATTAGGAAAAATGGGAAGCTGTCTTATTTCTAACCATTTGAGAAACTTGTTGCTTTTCAATACAACTGCTATCTAAATTAATTTCTTAAAATAAACCCTGCTTTGTACCCGGAAGCCTTCAGTTGGCTAATCTGCCCATAATGTGCATGTAAGCAGTCTGGTTTGTCCCAGTGTCTCCATGACCTATGTCCTCCGAAGGGCAGGATTTGCCAGGGACTGTCCAGTTCTAAAATATGATGGCCTTAGGAACCAGAAGGCAGCCAGCCAGGTCTCTTGATGGCACTTCTGGTGTGTGTGTGGGGGGTAATGGGTTTCTGCTCCATTCTGCTAGAAATGTGGGACTCTCCACCTCCAAAGGTTCATGCTGGCCCAGGTGGGCAGCTCATGTTTTCCATGGAGCCATTAATGGGACATTGATTTGTGTTAATTTGCATAGCTCGTCCAAAGGCTAGAACTTTTTTTGTTCCTTCCTTTCATCTTGGTCTCCCTGGCGGTGTTTTGGTCTTGTTGTGACTGCCTGTCTGTCTTCTTTGGCCCTGAGCTGCTGCTGGCCCTCTGTCCCGAGGGGAACAATAGCCCTGGTCACTGTTGGGTGGCCAACCGTACCAGGCCCAGGGTGTGGAGCAACTTTCAGTCCCGCTGCTCCTCTCCGTGTCTCCGGGGTGGCTCACCCGGGCTCTGCTTTCTTGGAAAACAACAGTGAACTTTGTTCGACCAAAGCCCTATTTCCCAAACTCTGGTATTTGTTCTCTGGCCCTCCTCCCTGCAGCTGCTCCCAACTGCTGACCACTTCCTGTGCACACTGAGCCGCTTTCGCTGTTCCAGCACTTCTTGGAAGACAGCCACAGGGGCCCGAGGTAGATGGAGCACAAGCCCTACCACGGGTGGCCTTGGCCTGTGGACCTGACTGCGCCACCAGGGTGCAGGGACAGAGGTGGTGCGGGGACAGAGATGTGTGCTGCCTGACTCAGGGTGGGCATTGTGGCTCCAAAGTCCCATTGCTTTGCCAGCCTCACACCTCTGGGTGCCTGCAGAATGTTAGAATCAGGAGGAAGCAAAAAAAGAAAAAAAAAAAGCACATTGACACAACTAACGTCAAAAGAGACAAGTGATAAAAGGGAAAGGCTTATTTTTGGAGCCCTTGGTTTCTGAAACTCCTTCCGACTTCGCACCCTCTCGTCCCTCCCACTTCTGTGCTCTTTGTCTCTGTGGGGACCTTGCATATCTGACCCTTCCCTGGGCCTGGGCCCTTAGGCCTTTCTGGGTTCCTGGATCTTGGTGTGAGCCCTTCCTTGGCTTCTTGTCTCTCTTTTGCTTCTGTCACTCAGCCTGTCACACCCCAAATCTGACTGATGGGGTGGCTGACTGAGAGTGGCTGTGGCTGCTGGATCTACAGCAGCCCCACTTGCACACCCGGGCTTCTCGACCCCACCGACTTCATCTGGGACACAGAGTGGGTCTTGATTGGCTGGAAGAATATTTGAAATAATTTGACTTAGTTATTGACATTTAAGAATAGGAGATCACAAGACAAATTTAGATTTTTTGAGCTCAACTTGCAAAGCTGGAGAGCCAGCAGGATGGGGTCTTGGCTTATTCTTGAACAACCACTAGTGGGAGCCAAGAGGCTGCCCCCGCCCCTGGGGCACACTTTGTCCACTACGCCACATGGCCGCGATGACAGGACGAGTCTGCCTGGACTCAGAGCCTGAGAATCAGCTGCCACTGACCAACTGGCTTGTCTCTCCCCCGATTCCTAAGCACCTCGTTCAGGAAGTGATTGCCGGACTCTACTGGGCATCTCAGTTGGCCACTCCTGCTCAGTGGCATTTTCTCAGCAATCATTTCCTGGCCTCTAGTGGACTCCAACCTATGTGTTGCTCACCAGGTCATTGCAAATCTTGTCGAGGCCGCTCAAGCCCTTGGTGTCTCCAGGAGGTCTGGCCTCTTCCATTGTTGAGAAGGCTGAGGCCACATAAGGTGCGTCCCCACGCCTCAACATCCTTCCTTTCCTCCTCTAGCTCTCTGCTTTTCTCCCTCAGTCCCTGCCTCCTTCCCTCTTTCTGAATCTTTCTGTCATCACTTTTTTAAAAATGTAAAATTAAATGCACTATGGAAAGTGTTGAAGACAGGCTGTTCAGCTCAGTGATTTATCAGGAAGTCAGTGCTGTGGGGTGCTTACCAGCCAGGTGAAGAAATACAGCTGCCCTTGGTGCATGCACTCTGGGTTCCCCTGCCTGCCCGTCCTCCAGAGGAGGGCACTACCCTGGTCTCATGGTAAAAATGTCCTAAATTTTCTTTATCCTTTTATCGTGAAAATGTGTATATTAATGTTTATTGCAGTTTTCTTCACAATTGCTAAAACTTGGAGGCACTGAGAGTCCCATCAATAGATGAATGAGTAAGATGGAGGTCCATCCAGAAAACAAATGTCACACAGCCACAAAAATACATGGAGGGCTGGGATCATGCCTGTGATCCCAGCTACTCGGGAGGCTGGAGGCAGGAGGACTACAAGTTCAAAGCCAGCCTGGGCAACTTAGAGACACCCTGACTCAAAATAAAATTAAAAAGTGCCAGGGATGTAGAATGCTTGGCTAGCATGCAAGGGGCCCTGGGTTCAACCCCCAGTACCATCACCACCACAATAGCAAAAAGTCACGGAGGACCTTCAGATGAATATTGCTAAGCGACAGAAGCCAATCTGAAAAGGTTCAGACTCTGTGACTCAAATTATATGACACTTTGAAAAAGACAAAACTCTGGAGACAGTGAAAGGATTGGTGGTTGCCAGGTTCACTGGAAGGGGGTATGAATGGGGGGAGCATGGAGGGTTCTTAGGGCAGTGAAGCTTTTCCTAGGATGCTACGAGGGCAAGTCCACCAAAGTTTACATTTGTCAAAACAGAACGGGGGACACTAGGAGGGAACCTAAGGTAAGCTATGGGCTCTGAGATGGTGTGTCAGTACAGATCACCAGCACAGCAAATGCAGCACTCTGTGGGAGGGGAGGGCAAGAGGGAGGGTGTGCATGGCCGGGTGGGAGCTAGATGGGCATGTTTGTCTCCACCTTGCTGCAAACCTAAACCTGCTTCACCCAACAGAGCTTTGTCAGAAGGAAAAAATGCATATCCTTATACTCTAAAGTTTAGCTCTGCCATTTTGACAACTTTTTATAAATGCAACTGTACTACTATATATTCTTTCACTTGTGAAATCCACCCACTTGGCTGTGTAGATTAATGTCGAGCGATAATCCCTGAATAGTACTGCATTTTCAAATGTGGCACAACTTGCTCTTCTGCTTGTGATGGACATCTGGGCTGTGTCCAGGCCAGGCTATTGGGAGTGATGCTGCTACGGTCATTCTTGTGCTGTATATTGGTGCATGCTTGTGAGCATTTCCAGGGTGGTACTTTCAAGTCTGGAGTTTTCTTTGTGGAAAAGTTTTGAAATTATCAGTTCAACTTACTTAATAGTTACTGAGTTATATTTTCCTTGTGTCAATTTTTTTTTGTAAATTTTATTTTTTAAGGATTTAGAATTTATCTAAGTTTTCAAATATATTGGCATGAAATTGTTCCTAGTATCTTCCTGTGATCTTTAATAAAGCTGGGTTCTGTTGTAATGTCTCTTTATATGTCTGACACTGGCGATTTTAATCTCTTTTTCCCCCTCAATAAATGTTGCTAGGATTTTTAAAAAAAATCAATTTTATCACTCTTTCCAAAGAATCCAACCTTTGAGTTTTGCTCACATTTCCTTTTTGTTGTTGTTGTTCTCTAGTTCATTAAATCCTGGATTTATCTTTCTTCTTTTTCTTTGGGTTCAATTTTCTGCACTTTCTCTAACTTCTTGACATCTGCTTAATTCATTGATTTTAAACTTTTCTTATAATCTAGTATATGCAATTAAAATGATAAATATTCATCTCAGCTGTAGACTTATTCCACAACTTTTGAAATATAATATTTTCACTATCATTCCATTAAAAATTTTACATGTTCATTTTGATTTTTCATGGGTTACTTAACAGTATTTTTGAATTTTCAAATGCATGGAAGTTTCCTCATCATTTTGGTCATCAAGTTATAGCTTACTTGAAATTATTTAGAATATATTTTGTATCATTTCAGTTATTTGATATTCACTAAGACAGGCTTTGTGACTCAATAGATGGATGATTTTTGAAACTGTTCTCTGTGTGCTTAAATGGAATATGATTAGTAAGTAGTTCTGAGCTCAGAGTTCTGTATGTCCATGAGGTTATGGTTGCTGGCTGAGTTGTATGAGTCTTCTATGTTTTTACTCATTTGTCTGCCTGTTAGGTCAGGCAATTGAAAGTGGTGAGTTAATTCTCTTATTGTCATCATGAATTTATCAATATGTAGATGTGCTGCTTATTGCTTTATGTATTTTGAAGCATATACAATTTTATAATGTCATAGCTTTGTGGGAAATTGGAACTTTTATTACTAAGAAATGCCCTTCTTTATATTCAGTAATGTGTTTTTTGCTTTAAATTCCATTTTGATTGATAATTTTTATAGGTAATTCAATTTTCTTTGGATTAGCATAATATATATTTTCCTCTACCTTTTCTCTTAACCATTTTGTATTCTTAAGTGTTATATGCTTATCTTGTGAACACTAAATAATTAAAAAACCCATTCAGTCTGGCAATCTTTGTTTTTTATTTGGAGTGTTTAGTCCATTCATATTTAGTATAACTCCTGTTATATCTGTATTTAAATACCCTATGCAATTGAGTGCTTTTCTTTTAAATCTTGGGTTTTATTTTTATAGTTCTGGGGATTGAACCCAGGACCTTGTGCATGTTAGGTAGGTGCTGTATCACTGTATTACAAACCTAGTCCCTTAGTTAGTGTTTTCTATTTGTCCCATCTAAATTTTATGATCATGTTTCTCTAACTTTATTGCTTATTTTTAAATTTTTAATGTATTTTTCTAGTTGTAGGTGGACACAATACCTTTATTTTATTTTTATGTGGTGCTGACGACCGAACCCAGTGCCTCACGTGTGCTAGGTGAGCACTCTACCACTGAGCCCCAGCCCCAGCCCCCTTAATTGCTTATTTTAGATTGATTTTTAAAGCATCACACTTACTTTATTTCTTTGGAAATTGCATATTCTTTTTACTACTCTTTTGGTTATGAGCCTAAGATTACAGTATGTATTCTTATATCAATGGGTACTTTTTACTCTTCAGGCATTTGAAGAATCTGGACCACTCTTCATTTACTTTCCTCAAATTTTATATTATCATCATGCATTTTAAACAATATATGTTTTTTGAATATATTTTTTAGTTATACATGGACACAACATCTTTTATTTCATTTTTATGCAGTGCTGAGGATTGAACCCAGTGCCTGATGCATGCCAAGCAAGCCACTCTACCACTGAGCCAAAAACCCAGCCCTAAGCAATGTATGTTTTTAACATGACAAAATTAAAAAAAAAAATTTGGTCACTGTCCATTTATATTTACCTAAATACTTTCTCCTCCTCCTCTTCCTTCTCTTTCTTTTGAGGCAGGATCTTGCAGTGATGCCCAGGTTGACCTCAAATTCCCAGGCTCATGGGATCCTCCTGCCTCAGCCTCCTGAGTAGCTGGGATTACAGGTGTGTGCCACAACACCCAGCTCTATACTTGCTTTTAAAAAAAATATTTATTTCCTTCTGTGTCTTTTGCTTTCCAACTGCAGCTATTTTCCTTGGTCTTGAAAAACAGTCTTCCCTTTAATGTGAGTGATAAATATGCTGATTTGGGTTTTGTAAATTTCTTTAATTCATCTTCATTCTTGAAGAATTGGCGGGGAGCATAAAATTTTAGGTTGACAGTCATTCATTTTCAGCATGTTAAGACTTTTCTGTTATCTTTTATATTTAACTGTTTGAGACATCAGCTGTCTAACTGTGGTTCCTGTGACCACAATCTGCCTCTTCTCCTCTCACTTAAGATGTTTCCCTTTGCTCTCATTTTCAGCAATTTTACTATGATGTGCACACTGCTTTAAAGGTCACCAAAAACACCCCAGTTGCCCCTCCGGTGGGATTTTTCTCAGTCCCCACTCTCTTTGGTCTTGGTGCAGAGCTCATCATGGCTGTGCTGTGTGCCCCTTTCTCTGGAATTCTCTCCTCACTTGGCTTCAAGGATGCTCGGCTTTCGGAGCCGCCTGCCCACTCATTCTTTCCCACCTTCTGCTCCTCTCTTCCACGTCCTAAGGTAGGGTGTCCTGCTCCTGGTTCTCTTCTTTCCTCCTCTCACTGCTCCTCTGACGAGACCCCCCTGCTTTGGTAAATTGGTGGCTCCCACAGCTCCGTTTGTGTGTGGATACTCAGATCTAAATATCTGGCTCAGGCCTCTTGCCAGGGTCTCAATTTTGCATTTCTGAATGACGGCTGGTTTTTCTGTCTGCATGACCTATGAGTCCTTCAAAAAACATTTTAAAAGGTTGAGCTCACACTTTCCATCCACAGACTTCCTCTTTCTTCTCATTGCCCATGACTGCTAATATCACCACTGCCTCCCACTCTCATTTCTTCCCTCCACACCACGCTCTTTCCTTTCATCTCCTCTCGTTCAAATCCCATAGGCTTTAAAGGGCCAGTTCAAGGCGTCCTCTTTAAGAAAAGCTTTGAGTCCTGTTTAAAAAAAACAAAACAAAACTGTGAATTTCAGCAGTGAGAGACGTTGTTCAAATTGAGGCTCTGTCACTGTGCCTCTAGAAGGTGTTCAAACACTGTGAACCTGGGATTTATCGTCCATAAAATGGAAGCCTGAGTGGCTGACTCATGGGTGCATTGGTAAGGTCGAATGAGTTATTTATGAATATGTTCTACTCCTTTTACCAGACTGTACACTCCTCGGAGTGAGGGTCTTTTTTTTTTTTTTTGATTAATCTACATGTCCCAGGTGCTTCTTTAGCGGTGATCAAATGAATGAATGAATGAATGCTGCACAACTTGCCAGACAGCCTGGTGCTGATGTCAGCATTTAATTCACCAGTTAGAAAGAGCAAGTCTGCTTAATGCCCTTTAGTTCCCCGATGCACACAGCCACCACTTGAACACTCTTATTTTGTTCCCACCAGCTTGGCTTAATATCAGATGGCTGATGAGATGGGAAGTGATGCAGGCTCTTTAGACCCACTCACCCTCTGTTTGCCCTTGCTTTCCCATGCACCAGAAGGCTTGAGTGATTGTCCAGGGGGGTTAATGGTGTAGACAACTGCCCTTGGCTAGAAGGTTCTTAAGTCCTATCACCTCTTTTGGATTTTGTTTAATTTATCCAGAAAATTGCTGCATCTCTTTACTTCTTTCCTCTCTCTCTCTCTCTCTCTCTCTCTCTCTCTCTCTCTTTGTACTGGAGATTGAACCCAGGGACACTTAACTTCTGAGCCACATCCCCAGCTCTTTTAATTTATTATTATTATTTTGAGTCAGGGTCCTGCAAGTTGCTCATGGCCTTGCTGAGTTTCTGAGGCTGGCTTTGGACTTGCAGGCCTCCTGCCTCAGTCTTCTGAGTTGCTGGGATTGCAGGTGTGCGCATCAGGCCCGGCCTCTTGATCTTGGTTGAAACCTGTGGGGTCCAGGCAGCCCTCTGTTCCTGCAACCACAGCTCTCATTTTAGCTCACAACTTCTTTCCCCCTTGTTGGTCTTAAAAGTGGGTGAGGCTGGCTGTAGTTGTCCTGAGACACTAGCCCTCAACTGAGAGGTGGCCCTTTCCTAAGAGCACATCAGGCCCAACACACCCGCCCACTGGGGTGGGCAAGCCAAGCACTCGTCTCCCTCTTGGCCTATCAGAAACATTGGAGGACATTCTGTCTGTTCCAGCAATTTGGTTATTCATTTTCTACTCTCAGCTGTGTATAGACCACCTGGCCATAGCTTGGTTCACCCACTTTTAGTGCTCCTGACAGATGGCATCTGGAAGCCACAGTATGAGCTCTTTTCCTCCTCCCTACTCTCCTCCCTGGGGTCAGATCTCCTCAGAGGAATAAATGGAGGTAAGGTTAGGTGTGGGCATTCTCAGTGGCCAGTGGTGCAGAAAGCTAGGAAGGGTCTCAGAACAAAGCAAGGCTTTTGTAGCAGGCTGGACAATTGCCCCCAAGTCCCTGAAACCTATAGATATTACTGACAAAATCCCCTACCCCAGTTTATACTTTGAAATTCTAAGTCTCCAAGGTGACAATCTTAGGAGAAGGGAGATGAGGCAGAGTTCTCCTGGTGGGGTTACTGTCCTCCTAAAAGACACGTGGAGAGCTGTCCTTCCTACCAGGGGAGGGCAGAGGAAGGGAGCAGCATCTAGAACCAGGAAGCAGGCCTTCAGCAGAACCAAATCTCCTGCACCTTGATCTTGAACTTCTAGCCTGTGAGAAATGAATTTCTGTTGCTTATAAGCCACCCAGTTTATGAATTTGTTATAGTATCTGAAAGGATAAAGCCCTTTAGCTTATTTGGATAAAAAGGACTTTGCAGATATGATTAAGTTAATAATCTTCAGATGGGAGATGATCTGGATTTTCTGGGCTCATAAATTCCATCATAGATACACTCATAAAAGAAAATGAAGGGGAGACATCACATAGCTAGTAAAACTGTTGTAAGGACAGGTTCTAGTTGAGCTTCCAGGGACGAGGCCACCAAGAGCTGATGCTCCTGCCACCACCAGGGAGCTGGCCACTCACCTAAAGCTGCCTGACACCTGCTCTCGTCTGCACCCCCAAAGTGGATGCCTCATGCCCTCCCTCTCTCCCCACTGAGCCAGGTCTAAATTCAGATCTTGCGCGACTGCCTATTGCTAGAGGAATTTAAATTGCACCTGGGACTTTGGCTGCAGGGGAGTCTGGGAAGTGTGGTTTTTAGTGTTCCGGCTTCTGCATCACAGAAGGGTAGCTTCCCCTTGCAATGAATGTCACTGTGCCAATGGCACGAATGTCGAGTGCGCCAACCACTTGTCTTAACGTGCGCGCTTACTAAGGGCAAAGCACTGCTCCAAGCAAAAAGGACAGGGCCCTGCGAGGGGCTGAGCTTCTCCTGAGAGTCACAGCAAGTTCACAACAAGTGAGGTCATTTCAGACAGTAAGTGTCACAGACAAAGTTGTGCAATGAGGTAATGGTGGGGTGGTGGTTGCTTTATCCAGAACGGTCAGGAAGCGTCTGTTGCTGAGCCATTTCTTGCAGCCATCTGCATGGTGAAGTGGTAGCCATGAGAATGGCTGGAAAGTGGGTGCTTCAAGGGCCAGGAACGGAAGGCCAAGGCCCAGCCAGGAACACCTGGGCCTGCTCCAGGGAAGGAAGGGAGCCTGAGCAGCTGGACTGTGGTCAGGGAGGCAGGGAGAGGGAGATGAGGTCACGGGTGGGGCAGGTGTTAGGTCCCAGGGACTTTGTAGGAGTTTGGATTTTTTTCTTGTTGCAAGAAGAAGCCACTGGGAAGATTTTTTTTAAAAAAAATCTGAGATAAATCATTTATTTTCAGAAAAGGCAAACTCCTATAGTTGTATGTACAACAGGAGAACACTCAACAAAGTAATTAGTTTTTAAAATCTTGTTTACACCAAGGTATGACAGATTAACATAACCCATTTCTTAGCTTTAATTGTCATTATTTATTTTTCAAACAATTCTATGAGATATAAAGCAAATATATTCATTTTTCATAAAGAAATATTTTTAAACATTTATTGTATTATTTTTATATTTATTTGCCAGATGCATTAAATGAGGCAAAAATACAAACCATTTTGCTTTTGTTTCTGGACTTACCATGGGGTGAGGACCCAGGAAACCCATCTGCAGTTGAAAATGCCATAAGAGAAACAAGTGCTAACACACCTACCCACTCAGGGCACACCTAGCAACAGTACCCCGTGACTGAGAGGCTGACTGGCGCTCACTGCTGATCTTGTTACCACTGGTCCAGGAAAAGCTCAGGATTCAGAATGTGAATCATGGCTCCTACTGAACACACACCACTTTGGCACCCCTGTAAAGCTGACTCCCCAAAGTTGGGGATCATGGGTGCTGGAGGGCAAGAGCTGTGCTGGATCTACTGACCTTGAACCTCCCGTCTGGTGGGGACCTTCCCAGGTGACCAGGAGAGCTGCAGTGAGCTGAACGGTGACCTCCAAGACGCATGTTCACTGGGAACCTCAGCACGTGCCCTTGTCTGGAAACAGGGTCTTTGCAGATGTAGTAAAGTAAAGATGGAGATGAAGTCATCCTGGATTAGGGTGGGCTCTGAGTCCCTGGAGAGTGTCCTCAGGAGAGACAGACAAGGGCACACAGAGTCCTACAGAGAAGGGAACCTGATGGTGGAGGGAGTGATGTCTGTGAGCCTGGAAACACCAAGGGAGCCCCGGGACCCTTGTTCCCCGGGGTCTCCAGAAGGAGCCAACCTTGTGGATACCTGGGTTCTGGACTTCTGGCCTCCTGAACTGGGAGAAACAAGCAGTTTTTTGCACCACTGGGTTTGTGGCACTCCATGAATACAGGAGTGGTGTGATCTGATGGGTGCTGTAGATCATCAAGGCTGTGGTCCAGAGGTGAACTCCTGGCCCAGGCCAGGGCAGCAGGCTGGGGTTGCAGTAGTCCAGTCTGAGATGAAATGCTCAGATGTGGCCGTGCTGGTCAGGTGCTGAGAAGCCCTGGGGCTCAAGGTGTGCTGGGAAGTAGGCCTTGACTTTACCTGTGGGGTGGACGTGGTGGGAAGGCTCAGATGGGGTTTGTGGTCTACACCATAGTCAGGATTTGTGGGGCTGCTGCTTGGGGACCTGAGTTGGGAGGGAGAATGATGGTTTGCTTGTGCCAAGGGAGGGATTCCTGTTGGAACCAAGGTGGAGGTACCTAGCTGGCAGGTGGACTGTACCCGTCGAGGGCTTTAGGGAGAAGTCGGCTTAGGGAGGAGGCCCCTGGGAAAGTCATCTGTACAGGGCGATATCTGTCTGGGGACTAAAGGAGAGAATAGATGTGGGAGAGGGAACAGGCAATGTCAGTGTCCAGGGGACTAGAGTGAAGGCCAGCACATGGGAAGGGACGGGAGAAATCCAGGTGCAGGTGGACCGTGTAAGTCTCCTGGAGCAGGTATTTCCAGAAGGGAGGGTCGAGTGTGAACAAGACAAAGTGTCTGCCCTGGCTCCGGGTGGCTGTCACCTATGCAGGGAGGAGGGGCCACAGATACTTGACTGGGAGGTGAGGGTGGGATAGCTGCCTCCGAAGCTCTTGGGAGAAGTTTCCCTCTGGAAGGAAGCATAGAAATGGCTCAGAGATGGTGTGGGACCTGGGGAGAAAAGGGGCCATGGCAGGGAGCTGTCCTTGAGGAGCTGGGGTGTGGCTCGGGAGTGTGCAGGGCTGTCCTGCAGCTGTATCCAAGGAAGTCAGATGGGGACCCTGCAGTGAGGGTCGACCCCCTGCAGCCCCTGTGGGAAGGCACCCCCAGCTTCAGACACATTTGTTTCTGAACATACCTCTTTGTTGAGGGCTGAGGACCACTGCATGCCTACCTTCCATGACCACCCACCCTTCTGCAGGGCATGGGGGAGTCTCTCTGCCATACCCTTCTAAGACCAGGGCCTGATGGCATTCCTGTCCCTGGGAAGGTGGGCTACTTCTTGCTCCTCCTCTTTGAAATAAAGCTAATGGCAAAACCCTTCCAGGCTTCTCATTAGAGACTGGGCACCTCCCTCTGCACTCACCCTTGAGGGGCTCTCAGACTTCCCTCTTGCCCCAGTGCCCTTATGGGGTTTATCTTGGGGACCACTGTTTCTCACATGGATTCTTCCTTAAGAAAGAGAGAAAAAAGCTTCCCTAAGTTTAACCTTAACTAATAAAATGATCTGGTTTGCCCTCTTTAAAAAAATGATTTATAATTTTTATTATGAGTTATTTTTTCCTCCACATTTTTAATGATACGTTGTAGTTGTACATAATGGTGGGGTTTGTTGCTATAATTAGTACATGCACACAGCAGTTTTACTTCATAGAACATTTTTTTTTTTTTGGAGTTTGCGTAGTCCCCTAGTCCCACAAAATATCCTGTCCCTGGGACAGTGGGACCAGTTTTGGACATCCTGCATATGAAAGGGTCAAAAAGTTCTGCAGCTAAAAACACCTTTGTCTCTGTTTTATCCAACATTTCTCAAACATATTTGACCCCCAAACAGTGCCCACCACAATATTTTTTTGGGAAATTTCTGCTTATATAGCCAGTTTATAAGAAATACAGTAATTTTCATTTTTCACCTGATCCAAAGGACCTTTTAAAATATTTTTAGTAATTTTACAAGTAATTTGAAGAAGTAAGAATGAAAGGAGGTGAAAAACAGCTCTAATGGGAATTTTGACACTGGAATTGAACCACACAGGTTCAGTTTCTGCTCCGTGTTCTGGTTTTGAAGGTGCACAGGCCCTGGGTGGGCCCGACTCTGGATCACATTTCCAAGATGGGAAACACTGAGTCAGCCTTCCAGTGATCTCTAGAAGGTTCTTGCTTCTGCCTCTCTGGCTACCTGAATTGTGAAAGCATGTAGGAATCATTTGAAGTCTTCCATAACATATTTTTCTTAAAAGGAAGATGGTCATTTTTGCTTCATAATTGCAAAACATTTTCATTTTTGGGTCTATAAATACCAATCAAGATGATCAACCCAGCATGACTACTGTTTTCCTGCCAGTCCTCTTTGTATGCACACCTGCTTTCAACATTTGCTACAAAACACATCAAGTAGATGTCAGGGTGCAAACCTCATAAGAGGAAGAAGTACCCCACATACTTTTTCAGCCAGATGGCATGGTCCAGGCTCTGGACAAAGATTGGCATGATGCAGCCCTTCTAGGTGGATGACCACCTGGAGAATACCGTGCTTGCTTTTGGTCCACAGAAATATTTTATTCTCCCATCACGTTTTGAGTTAGAAAAACTCTTTGCGTCTGATGTCACGTTTAGTCTTCGGGTCTGAGATTGCCTTATGTAATCAATTTCACCACTGTCACTGGAATCTAGACACCTGTGATCTCCTTGAGTCCATCTGATTTATCTAAGATTTGTGAAACATCTTCCTTTATTTTTCTCTTTGATCTTATAAACTGAAAGTAAAGAAATTCAGAATTTCCAACTGTGCCCAACGCAAACTAACTTCAGATTAGAAAGATGGGATCTTTCACATCTTGGCCTCTCGCCCAGCAACAGGACAGCAAGAATGAGAAGACAGAAATGGCTGTCTTCTCCCTCCAGTGCCTCATTGTTTCTTTGAGAATGATTTGCAATAGTTCATGGATAATAATGAATTAGCAAGAACGTATCAAGACACAGGGAAAATAATGACCCTCAGCTCAGCAGAGGTAGGTAAAATAATGACCCTAAGCTAAATGTGGTGGCACATGCCATAATCCCAGTAGTTTGGGAGGCTAAGGCAGGAGGATTGAAAGTTCAAAGCCAGACTTTGCAGTTTAGCAAGTCCCTGTCCCAAAAAAATGAAATATAATAAAATAAAAGAGGGCTGGGGATATTGTTCAGGGCTAAGTGCCTTAGGGTTCAATTTCCAGTACCAAAACAACAACAACAACAAATCCCCCCCTCAAAAAAAAACCCAGAACAAAACAAAACCATAAGATCCTCAGATGTAGCTCAGATGTATAAAAGGGTCTAAAGGATCCACATAGTGGTTGCAATATAGAGTAAATGCTATTGTCATAAGAAAAATAGATAATTATTTCTTTGGAAAATTTCTGGGGAAAGAATAGAAGTCAAATTGTATCAGTCCTTACAAATATATAGAACAGCTCAAAAAGAAAACCCCAAACTGAACCTGGATCTGGTGGGTCCTGGTGAGAGTGAGCTTTCTCCCACATTTTGATTTTGATTTACATATAATCTCTTAAATGAATGAAAAAAGTGCTTTCCCTTTTTTGAGTGGTACAGAAATGATTTTTCAGAAAACATCATGTAGACCAGCATCACCTTCAGCTTCGCACTGAAGATTTGTCCTGTGCAATCTCATGTTTCCCTTTCCATATGGGATGCATTCCGCCACATGGATTTAGGATGCATTACATAAGATGAGTGTGGTTCCAGAAAATAAAGAAAAAAGGCAAATGCTTTGATTTTAGTTCCTAAATATACATTCTATGTGGTATGTTTTATGTTATAACACAAAAAATTGGCAAAACTGTTTTTAGTTTCCCGAGATTTGGAATGCTTACATTTTGTACTTAAGCTGATCTATTTTTATAATTTTTGATGCTTTATTTCTAATGGACAAGATAAGACAGGGGATTTTACCTGTTCTTTTCATAATACATTGCAGTATGTGGGTTTTTTTCCACTAAGTAAAAGCCCACCAATATACGCCTGTTTTCTTTCAGCTCACAGCTTTGAAGCGCCAGAAATCCAGTCTGGAGGGAGATGGGTGGTGTCTTCACCATCTTGTGCTTCCTGCTGGAGTTTCCTCGTGCTCCCGGGCTTCTTGTCCTCAGCCGTGCTCTGCTGTGGTTCAAAACAAACTAGAAGGCAGAGATTAAAGCAATGCAAGTCAAACACAGTCTGGTCCACAGAGGGCCACTGGGGATGTGTGGGTGAGTCATGAGCATGTTGCCCCGTCCCTCACACTTTAGAACCTTCTCCAGCAGTTCTGTGTCACAGGGAGAAGTTTGAAATAACCATCCTATTTACTGAGTTAAAAATAGAAGTGGCTGCAACATGTTCTTTGCTCTTTCAGGGATCCAAACTCCTGGGTTGCTTTCAACAGACCGAGAATCACTGGTTGGGAACGTGGATCTGACTGAGCAATGGGAGCCTGGCCTTTGGGAGCTGGCCTGTGCATGCCCTGCGTGCGTGGGAGACATGGGACTTGTCCTTCTTTGAGGCTCCCTGGCATAGACTCCTTGCTCGCCATCACTTTTTCATTTTCTATTGCCCACAACGAAGTTCAGTTTCCAAGACCATCGCCCAACTTATATGCACCCACGAGGTTTGGGATTGGTGTTAACACTATAGCTGCCTGAGTAGCTACTTTGGCAGGCTAAGGTTCTGACCCTATGTTACCCGTCCCTGTCTTTGGGACTGGAGGCTGAATTCCATGCCCCACCCATTGGGGGCACTGCAGGCTCCAGGGTCCTGAGCCCCTGCCTGGGCTGAGAGGTAGGCTGCGGGGACAGGAGGGGCTGATGCTGGCCTCATGCCATCAGGGTCAAGGGCCAGTGGTGCACACTTTGTCTCCTATCCTGGGGTCAGCCAGGCCTGCACGGACTCATCCTCAGCCTATATCTGCAGTATATGCCTCTGAAGTTTCCATCAATAGGGGGCGGCTGGGTATACAATGATGAGGAAGGGTATAGGCTCCGGGGAAGACCCAGGCACCCAAACCAGCACGAGTATCAGGTCACTTCCCTTTTCCTCCCCCACATGTGCCTTTCTGGTCTGTTGCACTGGGAGCCAGCTGCTAGCAGCCTGGGAAGGGCTGAGGTGCTCTCAGAGGCCAGCGTCTCCACAGGGAAGTGTTCCTTATTCGCCCCTGGTAGGAATGGCCAGGGAAGCCCAACAGAGAGACCGAGAGGGATCTTCTCCCATGTGCTCTCCCTCATGGTGAGAATCCCATCCCGAATGCAGGCAGGGTCCCCATGCTGCCACCCCAGCTCCTGCCTTGTTGTGAGGATGGTGCAGAGGGCTGTGGAGCCAGGGTTAGCTGGGTGGGGAGGGCTGCTGGAGGACTTGCTCAAGCAGGCTGCAGCAAGGCCTTGGGCACGGTGTGGTTACCTCACACCCAGGGACCTGCAGGTGCATGCTGGGCTGTTTCTGGGTTGGCACCCAGACCCTTGGCCCTCACTGCCACACGAATCTGCCTGGAGGAGCCAGGTGGGTGCTGCTTGCTGACCCTAGCCTGGCCAGGACAGCCTGGGGAGGAGCTGCAACCCATGGGGTTGAGTGGGCACAGGGCCATCAGCCAGGCCTACCAGACTCTGGTGAGAAGTCACCTGCCAGGGGCCTGAGGGCTACAGGGAGCCCCTGACCCAACACCCCAGAAGGCAAAGCCCATCAGAGGTTGAGTTCCATGGTTCCCCTAAGCTTTCTGTCTCCGGCTGTCCCTATTAAAGGAGGGACAGTGGTTCAGGCTGCTGAGGTGGGGTGCTCAAGACCTGGCAGCTTGCCCAACAGACATCCATTTCTTGAAAATCTGGAGGCTGGACATGTAGGACCAGGATGCCAGAGGGGCTGGGGGCTGTGAGGGCCCTTTTCTGGGGTGCAGATGGCGCCTTCTAACAGAGTCCTCTCATGCGAAGGTGAGTGGGGCTGCTCTCTGGGTTCATGTATGTAAGGGTCCTATTTTAGGGTTCCACTCTGTGACCTGTCTGGCTCCCAAAAACCTCACCTCCTAATACCGACACATTGGGAGGGGCCAGGTTTCAACATATGAATCTTGGGGTGACACAGACATTGAGTCCATGGCAGAACAGGTGCCATAGACCCAATACTACTGCATTTCACTTCTCACAGAAACCCTGCCGGCAGAGGAGGAGACTGGCTCAGAGAGGTGGAGATGCTGCCTGGTGGGCCAGCGGCCACGGCCGAGTTGGGGGGCTGGCCTAGGGTGGTGCAGATGCCAGGACCAGTCCCCTCCCAGGGACAGGGAGTGACCTCCTCTGAGAGGACCGGGCTCCTTTCCAGCTGAGAGTGGGCAAGATCAGCAACTGCTGTGGCCAGGACTCTGTGGGGCAGGGTGTTGGGTGGGGGTCCCAAGGGAAGGCTTTGGCTGGTCCTGTTCGGGAGTCCTCTCTCCCTTTCCTTGGCCACAGGAAGGCTGAGAATGAAGAGGCATCACCCACCTCCTTCACTCCTCAGGGATCCCACAAGACCCAGCTCTTCCATGCAGCCATTCGATCCTTACGCTTTGTGTGACTACTGGCCCCACTACGCTCCTGTGAGATATGGCAGCTTACTGCCTCCCTCCCAACAAGCAAGGGACCTGTGCTCTTTTTTGTCCCAGGCTGGTGGCCTGGAACGGGACCCTGTTGATTCAGAGTGGCTCATGTACTAAGAGGAAGTTGTGTGGCTGGGTTCCTGCAACAGAGCACCTAAGGCCCAAGATGTGTGCACGTGTGCCCCGTTGTCCCCAGAGGCTGGCTATGGTCTGGTGGCAGAGGTTCACTCCCAGGGAGGAAGAAATCACCAAGTGACAAGTGATGTTTTGGGTAAAGCCCTTCTTGTTCCTCCCTCACCCACCTGGGGCTCCTAGGCTTCCTGGTGCTTCCCCCTGCTGTTGTTTCACTGGGGAGGGACCAGGGCAGGGAGGGGACAGCTGGGGAAACATTCCTGATTCTCTGTGCATTCCTTTCTTCCTGTCCACTGGTGATTCCTGATCTGCTTTGGGGTAGGTAAATAACTCTTCCCTATCAACATCTGACATCCCCCAAACTCTGTGGCATGAACCATCACCCCAGGTTGGCTCTTGGTGTGTGAGGTTCATCCTATGGAATTCTAAGGAAATCTCTCTCCATACAGCCTGGTTTTGCAAATCAAAAGCTCTTTGATTTTTTTCAGACTGCTTCAGCTAGAGACAGACAAAGTCTACACAAGAGTCTCAAACAGGATCGCAGCTTGCTGGTTTCAGCATGCGGGAAGCAATCCTGCCCCCTGGACAGCAGGGTCCAGGCAGGTTGGCACCCATTGTTCTGGGGGCAACTGTTCATCTCAGACTTTATAAATGTGCTGACGATCACCTGAGGGGGGAAACGTTCTGAGTTTGCAAATGAGCTGGTATGGGAGCCTTGGCTAGGTCTGGGAAGTCCGGGAAGCAGCCACCTCTTACTGCCTTAGACTGCCACCTTGCTAGGTATGCAGAATGAAGGGACTTCTGGAAGGCAGAGACAGCCACTGCGGAGCCCACAAGGGCTACACAGGAGGTGGGCCTGGAGGTGGCTATGGGGAGATACTGACCAGGCGCCTAGAAAGAGAGGCATTTCCAGTGCAATCAGTGGGATTGAAGGTGTGGGAGACAGGCGTTCACTGAGTGGCCAGGGCCAGTCTGATGGCTCTGAGGCTTTGTGTTGGAGCATGGCAAAAGAGGAGGTCAGAGAGGTGGGCTGGCTGGGCACGGAGTCTTGGAAAGTTGACTGAGGGGTGGTCTGGGCTCACTAAGGAGTGAGCCACATTCCAGGAGGAAGTTAGGGACAGGTGGAAGTGAGGTGCCAGAGGACAGCGACAGATGCTGTTATGGAGGCCCAGCATGGTGGACTGCAGTGGGCATGAGGAGGGGAGGGGAGGCCTGAGTGGGCAGCACCCTGTGGGGGAATCACCAGGTCTCTGGAGCTGACTCTGGAGGTGCAAGGAAGCTTCAGGTCTGTGGGTGGGAAGCCAGCCAGGCTTCAGCAGCACTGGGGAAGCCTGGAGGGGTCCCTGTTGGGCAGCACTGGTGGCACTGCAGGGTGGTGACATTCAGTAGCCAGCTGGCCCTGGGGGCATGGAGGCAGCAGAGTGGCCAGGACTGTGGTGACATATAGATTCTGTGCAGGATGACCCTGCAGGAGGTGAGACTGCAGGTGGATGGCCTCTGGGGAGGGCGCCTGGAGCAGAGCCATGGCCCCGGGAAAGCCCAGGGGCAGCCACACTGCCCAATGCACTGGAACATCTCAGAGGAACTGGACCTAGGAGAGGAGCACTCTGCCCCTGGGTGACAGCTGGGGCTTTCTCCTGCTCCACCTGCCGATTTCAGTCTCATAAGGCATTTTTCTTAGTGAGCGCAGTGGAGACCAAAGCCTCTCAGAACAGGAGAGTGGGAGCCTGAAGAAGGGCCTTCTGGATCCCTCCAGGGCCCAGGGCAGTCTTGACGCCACCCCTGTGCCCCCTGACACTGTCCCCCAGGCCTCATGCCCTGTAGAGGGACAAGGCGATTTCCCAGGCCGCTCAGGAGTTTATATTTTCTTCCTTTCTACTTTTTCTTTTGTTCTAACTAGTTTTACATGACAGGGGAATGCATTTTGACACATCTTTTTTTTTTAAATATTTATTTATTTATTTTAGTTTTCGGCGGACACAACATCTTTGTTTGTATGTGGTGTTGAGGATCGAACCCGGGCCGCACGCATGCCAGGCAAGCGTGCTACTGCTTGAGCCACATCCCCAACCCCTTGACACATCTTATGTAAAGGGATATCAGGGGGTTATATTTCTGTCATCACAGACTCCTAAACAAGTGCTCTCAGGATGGTGATTTTTCGGGGTGCACCCCCAGCGGCAGTTGCGTTTCTGGGCTGGTGATTAAAGATGGCTATGCAGGTGGGGGTGGTAGGATGCATCCCATTTTTTCCGCACAAGATCTTTTCCAACTAAATGAATCCTGCGGCTGGCTGCATACCCTGAGATCCCCCCTCTCCCAGCAACGAGCCGACCACAGCACCAGGCCTGGACACAGCAGCTTCCCGCCCCAGCCCTCCCGACAGCCAGCAGAAGCCAATCAGTCAGGGTGGAGAGGTGGCCCTGGGCTGTCTGGCTCTCCTGGCAGTGCTGTTCACAGGCTGGCTGTTGAAGGGACACTCTTTCCTTCGCCCTGCGCCCTCTGAAGGTGAAGACTGGGCTTCCGCCTCCCTGTGAGCACCTGTTCCCTACCGTTCCGACAGTTTGACTAACTCATCAAGCTTTTTGTGCAGCACATACTCTGGCAGGAACAGAAGCAGCATGACACTCGCTGGATACGGGCTGCGCAAGCACCACCACGTGCTCCCAGAGCTAGGCCAGCATCCTGGGCGTAGCTGATTGGCATTCTGTCTCATGCCCACCAGCTCACAGTGGCGGAAGCTATGGACACGTGGATGGGGAGGGGAGGTTTGTGGGGTGTGCTCACATAGTTCTTCTCCATTTGAGAGAAGCCCACTGTAGGAAAGGCCCCAGTCTGAGGCAGTCACAGGCCCGAGTTCGGGCACCTTGGGAAAGTGTGTCCTCACACTCTACTGACCTGCCAGGGCCAGCGTGGCCAGTCCTCTGTCCTCAGGCTTCTGGTCCCATGATGGTCACTAGGTGTCCAGAGCAGGAGGACAAAAGGATTTTGAGGTCATTTGGACACACTCACCAAGACCATTGCTGGTCCATGAAGCTCTCACTGTCCTAGCTGAAGGGCAACATCTCCTCTGCTGGAAGCTGAGGATACTGCCTTATGGTGCGGATGCTGCATATGCGATGTCACACACGAAGCCTGCCTCACTTCTTGAGAGGGTCTGTGGCTTCAGTCCCTCTGAAGGATGCAGGATGGAGAGCCCTGCATCTAGGGCTGATCCCAGAAATGAGTTCCAGGGGTCTATGCTGAGGCTGCTGGTCCTGCTAGAGGTGATGTGGCCTCTCCCTTGACCGGCTGCAATTGCTTGGGGAAAAAGGCACACACCAGGTCAGGAGCGGTTCTTATCCTAGTGAGGCTGACCCCAGAGCTTCTAGGCCTCGAGGATGCACTGATGGGCCCAGCATGGTGCTGACAGGTGGACAGGCAGAGGCTTGCCTTCCTGGGGCTTACCACCTGGAGCATGGCATTTGCACATTCTCTGTGAAGAGCCAGATAGTAAGCATTTCCTACCTTGTGGGCTGTGGGTCTCTGTCCTAACTAGCCATGTGGTCACTGTAGCTGTAGGTGGATGCCTTGGTGTTCCGATAAAACCTCACGTTTTTGGTCAGATTTTGCAATTTCTTACTACCCAGATTTTCCCTCTGAGCCTCTGAAGGATGGGAACATGTTCTTGCTCCTTTTCTTTTTCCCAGAGCCTAGCATGGGGCCTTACTCAGTTTACACCCCCCAGTCATTTCAAGAAGACGCTGGGGGCTCCAGTTATGCTGACAGTTCACACACTGGGCCGCCCTTGAAGGGCCTAAGTGCTGCCCACTGAGGTGCACACCTCTCACAGCGGATACTGGCGCTGGGGCACTTTCTAGTTCATTCTGTTGTCTTTTCTATTCCCTCCTTTCCTTCCCTTTCTCCCTTTTCTTCTTCTTTCTCCTCTCACCTATTTTCCTAAACATTTATTAGGCACTTTCTGTGTACAGACACTATGCTTGGCTCTAGAGACACAAAGAACAGTCAAGACATAAGGTTGGTCCACAAGGGGCTTCGATGAAGGGAGAAGAGGCCTGTTCTGCCTCAGGATGCTGAGCTGTGGGCACATGGGCCCAGGCCTTGCCTCTCCCCCAAAGCAGGGAGTGGGCATTAGCTTCCAGTGGCTGCCTCAGCCTCTGAGCCACGGGTTAAATCTGAGGCTGTTCTGCAAGGGCGCGGGCCTGGCTGGTGTTGTTTCTAGGCAGAGGCTGGAACCTGTGTCTCTTGTTTTGATAAAGCTTTGCTGTCAGAGTTTGAGCAATAGGTGTGGATATCTTGAAGCAAGATAGTGGCCAAGTCCTCATCTAGGAAGCAGAGAGCTAAGCTGAAGAGGAAATTTGCAACCAAGGGAAACAACCAGCAGGGACCAGATCAGAAAAAGGTGGAAAAACATAACCCAGAGGCACACTTTGCTTTGTTTAGAACACATTTTCCTGTGAACCCCAAAAGCTGTGCCAGGTGTGTGATGAGCAGCCGTGGACGGCGGAGCCCACCTGGGGCCTGCTTCCCACTCCCTCCCTGCTCTGCTCTCAGGTGTCATCTTGGAGCTGGCGCTGCCAGGTCACATGGTCCTGTGCACCCTGTACTGTTGGAGGTTAGCACGTGTCCAGCCCACTTTACCCAGGATCTCTCAATGGCCGTGAAGCCTTCTGCACTGTCCCGTTAATCCTCAGGTGCTCTCTGGTTCTGGCCTCATTGAGAGGCCACGGGTTCATTTCTCCTAAGATGTCTTCCAGCCAGTGTATTCTCTGACCTGGGGCTTGGTCTCAAGGCCTCCGGCTCACAGAGACCTAGCCGGGGACAGCCCTGGCTCTGGGCAAGGACAGGAGAGAACCCCAGAGGCATGCACACAGTTTTTGGGTATGTGGGTGCCAGCTGAGGTCCCAGCCGGGTTTCCTAGGAAGTCCAAGTATCACATCCCACACCTTGGGTGGAAGGGAAAGAGGACAGAGGTGGGTCAGTTGGGTGAGGGGCTCCCAGGGACCCAGGTCCAGAGGGTGAGTGGACTTTTATCCCTTTCAGGGACTGGAGGATCAAAGTGCAAAAGATCCCAAAACTTCCTGTCACCATACCTCACTAATTAGGCAACTCCTGGCAATTCGACTTTGGACTTTGCTCTTGAAAAGAAAATCCTGGTAGATCCAGGAACTCGGCAAGATGTCAGCGTTTGCTCAGGGGTTGAGGTCCCCTGAACCATCTAGGTCACCTGCCCCAGACTGGTGGTTAGTCATGGCCTGATAATAACAAGAGAGTACGTCAAGCTTCACGTGTGCTTTGGCATTCAGTGCTCATATCTGTGTGTCTTGCCGTGACCTCGAGGATGAGCAACGGTGGCCTACTAGGTGCTCACCTTCGAGCACCTGCTGCCCTCCTGCCCCTGTTCCATGCACGGTCGACGCATCTTCTCTCTCAATGCTCACTGTAGCCGTGAGTGATGCAGCTGTCACATCAGGAGTGGACCAGGCTCCCGCAGGATGGGGAACAGGCCTGCCCACAGGTCTCAGGGGGCCACCATCTTCCCAGGCCATGGAACAGGGAGAGACCAGGTTATCTGGCACCTGGACTCCCATCTGGAGCTTGATGCAAGTGCCCCCAGCAGAGGTAGAAGGTGAAAGGAGCTGGCCTCAGATGGCCCCTGTGACCACTGCCTTGTTGCCCACCCAGTGTTGCTCTCTCTTGGGAAGATGGTGTCACCTACCTTGGCCCCAGTCTGTGGGTTCAGGGTGAAGACCCCTGTGTATCCAGCTGCTCAGCTGAGAGGACTGTTATGAACAGGGTGCAGGGCAGGAGGGGGCAGGGACCTCTTCCAGGGCTGCTGCAGGCCCCGCTGTGCTGGAGAAACTGGAGAGGACCGTGGCTCCAGGTGAGCGCTGGGTGGGCGAAGGTGGCTGTGGCAGCAGCAAATGGCAGGGTGAGGGCTGAAGAGCAAGGAGCAGTAGAGTGCCAGATAAGGGACCCTCGCCCAGGGGTGCAGGCAGGAGCATGTCCCGCTGAAGGCAAAAGCTGCAGGAGGGTGAACCCATGTTGTCCCATGTCCCCAGGTGGCAGCCGTGTTGCTGAGGACACCGTGTAGGGGAGCACCACCTCCTCCCAGGCCACCTGCCCACTGAGGTGCAGACATACTCCTGATTTCCTCTGAGACAGGGTAAAGCGTGGGTTGTTAGGACATTTCTTAATTGCAGGGAGACCACATGGCAAACTCCTAGAGGCAAGTATGTGGCTCTGTGTCCTGGTGATGGTGACGGGGACTAGGCTGCCTGGGGCAGCGGGCCTCGGTGCCTACGGCTCTATTCTGGATGTTCTGCGAGTGCGCTTACTGCGAGGTCATGGAGGAGAGCGGCTGGCAGGACAGAAACGATCCCGGTAGAGTTTTTCAGGGTTAGAAGGAACAGAGGTCCCAGAAGGTTGAGTGGAAACTGCATCTGGTGTGGAGGAGGGTCCGGATCCACCCTCATGTCTGACAGCTCCATGCCTGGGGTGGGGAGCACCCGTGCTTGACCAGGTGTGAGTCAACTTGGGGACGTGGTTCCTGCAGGGAGGGGCAGCAGGCAGCAAGTAGGTGGCCTTGGGGGTCCATGCTAGGAGCCTCTGCTGGAGGTCTTGGGAGACCGCTGCCTGCTCCCAGGGGAGTGGCAGTTCTCTGTGGTCTGAGTCCCAGGTGACACCCGCCTAGGAGGATGAAGGGTGCTGGGAGGGAATTCCCTGTGTATCTTCTCCCACCAGGTCCCAGGGAAAATGCCCAGGGAGTAGTGAGCATGAAGGTGAGGGAGGAGGAGGCGAGCTGCCCAGGAAAGTCAGAAGTGAGGGCTATGCCAGGCGGAGGCACAAAGGGAGTCCCGTGGCCAGGCAGACAGGAGATGGGAGGCCGAGAGGGAGGCCAGCGGGCTCCAGGACAAAGAGGGTGGGAAGAAGTGTGAGGCAGGAAGTGCTTCAGGCTCTCAGGTGGGGAAAGGCTGCCTGCTCTGCAGAGGAGCCTGGAAACCAGTAACAGGATATGGAGGGGCCAGGAGAGGAAGGCCTGCCTTCCTCAGGGAGGGAACAATGGCCATTCTTCCATTGAAGGCTGACATGCCCTGAGAGAGGAAGGGCCTGCCAGGAGGGAGGGCCAGTCAGGGGACAGGAAGGAAGGGGCCAGAGCCTGCACCGACCAGAGGAAGGCCAGAGGCCCCTGCATTGCATTTGGAACTCAATACACCCGCCTCCAGAGCACCAGGCAGCCGGCAAGGTCCCCATGGCCATGGCGTCACTGCTGTGGCTTTCCCAGGAGCCCTGCCCCTGCTCTTCCCTCCCCTTGGCCTCTTCCAGGACCCCAGGTTCCAGCCTTGCTAGGGCATCCTGAGGCTGGTCGAGGCCAGGGTCTCCCACACCACCTGCTGGGTTCTGAGACTTCCCATCTACACACACGGGAAGAAGGAGCTCCCAGCATAATAAAGGAATCGGGCCAAAGTAATCAAGGCCCCCAGCCCCCCAAGGCGCCCGTTTCCAGGACAATCAGGGCTGCCCACTGAACAACACTTGCTCAGTACAAAGGAAGTGCATGACGGGTCCAGGGGAAACATCTGATTGTTGGGCACACAACAATGGACGGGTGGACTGAATGGCACTCACATGTGAGGTTGCTGTGCCGAGCAGCCCTTCGGAATCCTAGAGAGCACCGTGGAGTGGCATGGGGCGCTCCCACTGAGGACTGAGAGGTGTGGCCTTCACACTCAGTCCTTCCCTTGGGGCTGCGCTCTGTGGGAGTGACTCACACACTTCATGCCTCACCTGCCTTGGCCTGGTTCCCCATCCCCTCGACAGGAGGTGGGCCCTTTGTCAACAGCAGCGGGTGGCACCATGGACTTCATTTGGCATGAGATGAGGATCAGGGGGCCAAGGTAGCTGAGAGGAGGAAGCAAAAGAAGGGCTAGGGGACCTCAGGGAAAGCAGGCCTGTCATTTGCCAAGGACTGGATGTTTGTGACCCCTTCGCCCCAACCCCCAGTGTGACTGTATTTGGAGAAAGGGCCTTTGTCATGATGCTCAAGGATAAAGGAGGTCATTAGGGTGAGCCCCGATCCAATAGAATTAGTGCCCTTCTGAGAAGGGACAGAGAGAGCTCTCTCTCTCCACTAAGCAAGGACTGAGGGAGAAGGTGGCCCTTTGTGAGCAGGGAAGGAGGTCCCCACTAGGAACCAGCAAGCCAGCGCTGTGGTCTCTGCTTCCAGTCTCCAGACCCACAGTGTCCCAAGTAGCTGGGATGTGGTTGTTGTGCCTGCCCTGGGGGACTTCAAACCTGAAAGACTGAAGAGATGAAACTCTCACTGCATGTTCTCACTTCCAGGTGGGAGCTGGAAGGTGGTCTCAGAAGTGGAGGGCAGAGTAGTGGCTGTGGCATCTGGGGACATGCTGGGGAGGAGGAACATGGAGAGGGTAGTTCCTGGGTACAGGCACGCAGCCCTAGGGGAGGAACGACTTCTAGATTCCAAAGCAGGTAGGTAACTATTGTTGGTAGCAATGTATGGAACGTTTCAAAATGGCTAGTAAAGAAAGATTTTGAATGTTCCTGACACAAAGAAATGATCAATGTTTCCGGTGACAGACATGCCAAACACCCTGACCTGCACCTTCCACACTGAGGATGTTGAAATATCACCCTGCACCTGGTAATCATGTACAATTACTAGGTGACAATTAAAACTATTTTACAAGAAGGGTCAGGAAGTTTCAGGGGAAAAAGGTCCTTCAAGGCCATCTGAGACATTGCCTGTCCAGTTGACAGCAGCCCTCCCAAGGCCCACAGAGCCTCCCCAGTCCACTCAGCGTGTTGTGCTGACTTGGTCTTGTTGGCACAGGCGGAGGAGCAGAGGCTCCGGACACCTGCACCCTTCTCAAGGCTTCGCCCTGTCTCTATGGGGCCCCTCACCTGCAGGCGTCAGTGGGTGCCACTCCATCCCGGTCACCAGTAGGGGCTGTGTCTTCTGGCCGGTGGTCAACAGCAGGAGAGGTCAGCTCTTCATGAACCAGGCCCATCTTCATGCAAATGTGTCTGGGAATAGCAGGGAGCAGAACTGCAGGGTATTTGTGGCGGAGAGAAGTGGGGCTGCTGGGGAACAGATGCTTTATTGGGCTCCTGTGGAGCACCAGCTGCTCCTCTAATGTGTCCACTTCAGGCTTTCAGTGGGGAGCGACTGCTCCATAAGTAGCAGGCATATGAGCCAGGCATGGTGGCCACGCCTGACATCCCGGTGACTCGGAGGCCGAGGTAGGAGGATGGCAAGTTCCAGGCCAGCCTCGGCAACCTAGGGAGACCTTGTCATGGGATAAAAGTTGAAAGGGCTGGGTGCAGCTCTTGGTAGGTTGCCCTGCAGTCTCCAGTGCTGCGGCACGAGGAACAGGCACGGAGCAGGGTGTCACTGTGCCTGGGGACCTGCCAGAGCCCACATGCCTCTCCCAGTGACACCTTTGTGCCTGGCCCTGGGCGCCTTCTCATTTTCTCTAAGTTTTATAATCTTTTCCTTTTTTCTTTACTTTCTATTTTGGAGAAAAGTCCTACCTCAGGAAAGTTGCAAGACTATTTAGAGGCGCAGGTTTCCTCCTCTTCTGGGCAGAGACATTACTGGTAGCTTTGTCTGGGCAGCTTGAGGTCCAGCTGTAGGCATTGCAGCCCCCAGGTAACTCCATGCTCTCTTCACCTGCAATCCTGTCGTCTCTTCGGGGCCCATAGTTATGGCTGCCCAGATGTCCCAGGGCCACGATTGCCCCAGGGGATTTGCTTATCTTGTCTCTTTAGCCCTCTTTATCTGGAACAATCAGTAGCCTTTCCTGGAAGTTCATAGCACTGATTCTGGGATTGTGCGGATCTGAAGAGGGAAGCAGAGTAGCGGGACTGCCAAGAGTGACCAGTGGACATTTGTGGGGAGCACGGGTCAGGCTCAGGAGGGGGCTTGGGGCTAGGAAGGAGGTGTGGACATAAGGCCACAGGGAATGACTGTTGGAGAGGTCTGAGGAGGGCCACTGCTCCCATCCATGGGCTAGGCCTGAGCGTGGCCAGCAGGTAGGCAGCTGGGGTGGGGAGGACAGAGCAAGGTAGTGCTAATGGAACTACAGTGGCCATGTCTGTCACAAGAGATATTGGTGACCTCCACAGGGAGCTGCCCTGTGCCTGGGCTGTCCCTTGGATGAGGTGAAGGAGGAGTCAGGAGTCCTGGTGTGGAGGTGCCCAGCAGCGGGTGGTGTGAGCGTCTGCAGAGCCTGTGCCCCTCTTGTGCACACATCCGCCTTGGTTGCACGAGCCCTTGTGCATCCCACAAACGCCTCTGCACTCCTGTGAGGGATCTGGTGGGAGCAGGATGGTGGACGCAGGCACGACAGCACTCCAGGCCGCAGCCCTGGCTCTGCCCCATGGCACCCATCCCACCTGCTCCTGGTGACTTTTCCCTGTGAGCCTGCAAGCTTCCGTCTGTCCACTGTGGCATGTCACTAGAACTGCCTGGAGCCTGGCATGGAGTCCTCACAACTGACAGAAGAGGTGAACCCGGCTCTGCTCTTTCAAAGCCGCTGAAGTTCTCCCTGGAGATGACCTGGACAGTTAGGTTCCCACTTGAGACACTGCTGAGTCCAACCACCTTCAATGGTGACGTTGTCTCAGGATAGACTGTTCTAATAAAGGGGGGGATTCAATTCCAAGTACAGATGACCCAGTATAATCCAAAATATCATGAGAGGAGTTTATTTCCTCACATAGACCAAGTCCAGAGCAGCCACTAAGCCCTCGGGGACCTGGCTCCTTCCATACACTGCTCTGCCCATCCTTGGGTGTGGTCTCATCCTCTTGTGCCAGGCTTTCAGTGGGGAGCGACTGCTCCATAAGTAGCAGGCATAT